GGCCCAAGCAGCTGGGCTATTATCCGCTGCTTTTCTCAGGCCATTAGCAGGGAGCTGGGTCGGAGTGGAGCAGCTGGGACATGAACTAGCACCCACATGGGGTGACAGCATGACAGGCAGCAGCTTTACCCACTATGCCACAAGACTGGCCCCTAGTTTGTTCTTCTTTATTTTTGTTTGATTTTCAAAAAAAGATATATTTATTTATTTGAAAGATAGAGTTAGAGAGGCACAGGCAGAGAGAGAGAAACAGGTCTTCCATCCCTGGTTCACTCCCCAAATGGTCACAGTGGCTGGAGCTGGGCTGATCCAAAGCCAGAAGCCAGGAGCTTCCTCCTCCTGGTCTCCCACATAGGTGCATGGGCCAAAGAGTTGGACCGTCTTCTACTGCTATCCCAGGCCACAGCAGAGAGCTAGATCGCAAGTGGAGTAGCTGGGACTCAAACTGTCGCCCATTTGGAATACTAGCACTACAGGTGGTGGTTTTACCTGCTATGCCCCAGTAGCTGGCCCCAGTTTATTCATTTTAAAGTGGCTGAGCAATATTTGATATTGAGGATGTTGTAAGGTCTTTAGCCATTCTGCTACAGATGACTATTACTTTATTTCTAGTTCTTGGCAACTACAAACAATGCAAGAAGAAAACAACATTTTAGATATATGGTACAAACTGGTATTTTTTCTTTTTCCCAAGAGTAGAATTATTGGGTAAGAAGGTAAATATATTTTCAATTAAAAAGTATATTTGAGGGGGCTGGCACCATGGCGCAGTGGGTTAGCGCCATGACCTGAAGCACCAGCATCCCATATGGGCACCGGTTTGAGTCCCGGCTACTCCACTTCCCATCCAGCTCTCTGCTATGGCCTGGGAAAACAGTGTAAGATGGCCCAGGTCCTTGGGCCCCTGCACCCACATGGGAGATATGGAAGAGGCTCCTGGCTCCTGGCTTTGGATTGACTTCGGATTCGCTCTGGTCATTGCGGCCAATGGAGAGTGAAGCAGCAGATGGAAGACCTCTCTCTTTCTGCCTCTCTCTCTCTCTCTGTGTAACTCTGAATTTCAAATAAATAAGTAAATCTTTAAAAAAAAAAGGTATATTTGAGCCGGCGCCATGGCTCACTAGGCTAATCCTCCACCTTGCGGCGCCGGCACACCGGGTTCTAGTCCTGGTCGGGGCGCCGGATTCTGTCCCGGTTGCCCCTCTTCAAGGCCAGCTCTCTGATGTGGCCAGGGAGTGCAGTGGAGGATGGCCCAAGTGCTTGGGCCCTGCACCCCATGGGAGACCAGGATAAGTACCTGGCTCCTGCCATCGGATCAGCGCGGCGGCCATTGGAGTGTGAACCAACGGCAAAGGAAGACCTTTCTCTCTGTCTCTCTCTCTCTCTCACTGTCCACTCTGCCTGTCAAAAAAAAAAAAAAAAAGTATATTTGATAGGCAGAGTTACAGAGATAGGGGGAGAATCACAGAATGAGAGAAAGATCATCCACTGTTGATTCACTCCCTAAATGGCCACAACAGCTAGGCTTGGACCAGGCCAGAGCCAAGAACTGCGTCTGAGTCTTCCATGGCCAATCTCCTGCTGCATTCCCAGGTGCATTTGCTGGGAGCTGGATTGGAAGCAGAGCAGATTGGACTTGAACCGACATTCCCATATCGGATGCCTGTGTTATAAGCAGCACCGTAACCCCCTGCTAGCTCTTTCAATTCTTTTTTGTTCTTTAATTTTTGTTTATTTTCATTTTACTTGAAATGCAGAGAGAAACAGAGACAGAGAGAAATCTTCCATCCACTGGTTCATTTTCAGTTGCCTATAGCAGCCAGAACTGGGCCAGGAGCGTGGAACTTGTTCTGAATCTTACTCTTGGATGGCAGAGACCCAGATCCTTGAGCCATTGTCTACTGCCTCCCAGGGTATACACTAGTAGGAAGGTGGATTAGAAGCAGAGGAGCCTGGACTCAAACCACACACTCCAATATGAGATGTAGGCATCACTTGGGAAATCTTAACTGCTGTGCCAAACAACTGACCCAAATATATTTTCAATTCTTTTTTAAAAAATGATTTATTTATTTCTTTGAAAAGCAGAGTTACAGAGAGGCAGAGAGAGAGAAAGAGAGAGAGAGAGAGAGAGAGAGAGATGTCTTCCATCTGATTGATTACCCAAATGGCCACGACAGCCATAGTTGCATTGATCCAAAGCCAGGAGCCAGGAGTTTCTTCCAAATCTCCTACACGGATGCAGGGGCCAAGGACTTGGGCCATCTTCTACTGCTTTCCCAAGCCATAGCAGAGAGCTGTATCGGAAGATGAGCAGCCAGGACTCGGTGCCCATATGGGATGCCAGTGCTTCAGACCAGGGCATTAACCCACTGTGCCACAGTGCTGGTCCCAGCCACTATATTTTCAATTCTAATGGAGATTTCTAGTTTGCTTTTTAGGAAGTGTATAACACACAAATGTCCCAGGATATTATCTCATACTTTTTTAGGAGACTTATAAAAAATTAAGATTCCCAAATCTGATAAAGCTTTGATTCAGGTCTGTGGTGAAATCCAGAAAGCTTTATGTTTTAAGTTTTGTTTTATTTATTAATCAGAAAGCAGAGAGAGAGCAATCTTCCATCTGCTAGTTCACTCCCCAAATGGCCACAACAGGCAGGGCTGGTGCAGGCCGAATCCAGGAGCAAGGAACTCCTTTTGGGCCTCCCATATAGGTGGCAGGAACCCATCTTCTGCTGTATTCCCAGGCACTTTAGAGGGAGCTGCATCAGAAACAGAACAGTGAGGACTCAAACCAGCACTCTGATATGAGGTGCTGGTGTCACAAGTGGCAGCTTAATCTGCTGTGCCACAACATTGACCTCAGAAACTGTAATTTTTTTTTTTTTTTTTGACAGGCAGAGTGGACAGTGAGAGAGAGACAGAGAGAAAGGTCTTCCTTTGCCGTTGGTTCACCCTCCAACCGCGCTGATCCGAAGGCAGAAGCCAGGTGCTTCTCCTGGTCTCCCATGGAGTGCAGGGCCCAAGCACTTGGGCCATCCTCCACTGTACTCCCTGGCCACAGCAGAGAGCTGGCCTGGAAGAGGGGCAACCGGGACAGAATCTGGTGCCCCCACTGGGACTAGAACCCCGTGTGCTGGCGCCACTAGGCGGAGGATTAGCCTGTTGAGCCGTGGTGCCGGCCAGAAACTGTAATTTTTAAAATTTACAGATGAATCTGAGTTGGTATTGTAACCACCACCTTTGAACACTAGAAAGCTGCTGAAAATAGCTGATCTTTAATACTTATATCAGAAATATTATGCTTTAGCCAGATATATATGAGGGAACTTCAAAACATTCATGGAAAGTGCACATTATCTTTAATTACATTTTCCACAAACTTTTTGAAATACCATCATATATTACAATCTAAGTATCAGATCAAGACATGAATTGGAGGGGCTGGCATTGTGGCATAATGTGTTAACTTGCTGCTCATGATCCCAGCTCCCAGCATTCCACAGAGTGCTGGTTTAAGACCCAGCTGTTCTGCTTCCAATCCAACTTCTTGACAATGTGCCTGGGAAGGCAACTGAGGATGGCTCAAGTGCTTGGATCCCTGGCATGATGGCTCCTGGCTTTGACCTGGTCCAAACTTGCTGTTACAGACATTTTGGGAGTGAACCAGTAGATGAAAGATCTCTCTATTTTCTTTCTCTTTCTTTCTTTCTTTCTTTCTTTCTTTCTTTCTTTCTTTCTTTTTATTTACTTATTTATTTTGTAAGAGTTACAGAGAGAAAGGGAGAGACGAAGGGATTGTCCTTCCACGGTTCACTCCCCAAATGGCTGCAACAGCCAATGCTGGTCCAGGTGGAAGCCAGGAGCTTCTTTCGGATCTCTCACTTGGGTGGCAGAGGCCCAAACACCTGGGCTATGTTCCACTGCTTTTCCCAGGATATTACCAGGGAGCTGGATCAGAAGTGGAATAGCTGGGACACAAATTGGTGCCCATATAGGTTGCTGGCATCATAGGTGGTAGCTTTACCCACTACGCTACTATGCTAGCTTCTAATCTCTGTCTTTTTTTCACTCTCTGCCTGTCTCTCTGATGCTCTGTCTTTCAAATAAAGAAATAAATCTTAGAGATCTCGGAGAGAGAGAAAGAGAAGGGGGGGGAGGGAGGGAGAGAGATGTATTGGCTATGGACGTACACTCAGTATGTTGAATGTAGGTCAAGGACATGTACAGTTTCAGAATGGGAGACTTCATTAGTTGGACTGGGGATAGCCTTTTGGGGGTCAATATCCAGTTTAGAGCAGCTTTTTGAACAATCTAGAAATATTTCCAGGAAGACATAGCATTTAGTGGTTGTTTGGAATTTAAGTGATTGAGGGAAACAGGGGAAATAAGAGTATTACACATGTAAAATATTCCTGAAGAAGTCTTGTGTATAAAAGGAGGTTATCAGATGATGAAGATACTGTGAGATGATGAAGAGTACTGTGCTATAAACTGAGTTGGATTTTAATTCTGGTTAAGCTACTAGCTACCTGTCAGGCCCTAGAACTCATTTTCTTGGTTTATAAGATGAGGAGGTTTGGTTCATAATTACTGTGTTCATTTTGATTCTGAGCTAGACTGGATGTAATTGTTTCCTTTGTCACTACAGATACTCTAGAAAATCACCATGTCAGGGAGTTCCCTCTGTACGTATTATAGGTCTTAGGCCCAAGTCTGGCAGGAGTTGATTATGCTTAGAAAAATAAAATGAGGTGAGATGGGGACATTGAACCATCTGTCCAAAGAGCCTCTTGTCTACAGAGTTCTTCAAAGGCTGTAAATTATCCCATATTCTGAAAATCTTGTTTGTAAGTTCTGGAAATGTGTCCTCTATTGGGTTCAGGAATGCATATTTGCTATTTAATGAAACAGGAACTTCTGAGTCTGTGCTGCTATGCTCAGAGTTAATACCCCAGCATAGAAATAGCTTTAATTTGTGTTTGTTTTCTTCCTTAGGCTCTGCAGATGGCATGGGAAGGAGGTTGCACTCAGCCCCTGGTCCTGGTCTCTCAAAGACCCCAACAGCAGAAATGGAGCACAGTCTTCATGAAGCCAATATAGTGCCTGCATCTCAGGTAGCAGCCTCGGGTACTACAATGCTAGACCTAGGATTTGTGTTGGGGATGGAATTATGGAGAGAAGTGAACAGTAGCGTTGGTGATAAGGCAGAGACATGGTAATGTGGAGAAGTGAACAAGGTCTAAGTTTGGACTTCTTTTAAGTGAGAGGGGATTGCTACATGGTCATTACTTTTCAAATATGTCCATTTCAAGTATTTACAATTAAGTATTTACTAGTAAGTCTTGCCTATTTGCTCCCGTATCCCTGAGGACAGAGTCTGTGGGAAAATGACAGGTCTGGTGTTATGTGTCTGTATATGTCTGTGTGTTTGAAGGCTGCAGCTTGCCGAGGCCACAGCAGGGAGTGTGGGGAGGATGAACAGTACAGTGCGGAGAACTTTCGCCGCATCTCACATGGTCTCAGTGGCACCATTGTCTCAGAGAGGGAGGAGGCTCCAGTCTCTAACCACAGTGTTGTAAGTAGAATCAGGGTCCATCCATTCAGATCACTCTCTTCCTTGCCAGTTCAATTTACAGGGCAGGTACAGAGAGAGGGAGGAATTGAAGGTTGTTGCCTTTTGTACTCAGCAAAATGAGGACATTGTTATTATTTTATTTACATGCACTTAATTGGATCCCAGAGAATATTCCCTTTCCTATGACAGTTCTGAAAGGGTTTAAAGTAGCCTTAAGAGGAATCTGGGCCAAAACCGCAGCTTATTTGGCTAATCCTCTGCCTGTGGCACTGGCACCCCGGGTTCTAGTCCTGGTTGGGGTGCTGGTTCTGTCTCGGTTGCTCCTCTTCCAGTCTAGCTCTCTCCTGTGGCTCGGGAAGTGCAGTGGAGGATGGCCCAGGTCCTTGGGCCCTGGACCTGCATGGGAGACCAGGAGGAAGCACCTGGCTCCTGGCTTCGGATTGGTGCAGCGTACCGGCCGCAACACACCGGCCGTAGCGGCCACTTGGGGGGTGAACCAATGGAAAAAGGAAGACCTTTCTCTCTGTCTCTCTCTCTCACTGTCTAACTCTGCCTGTCAAAAAAATTTAAAAAATAAAAATAAAAAAATTTTTTAAATTAAAAAAAAAAAGAAGAATCCAAGGAGCAAAACTGCTGACTGGGTCAGCACTTTACTATACTCACAAAACTCACTGATCAAAGGAAGAAGGGAAGAAATAGGATGGCATGCTTTTTTGCCTTTTATTCCCCAGTATGTGATTGAGTGGGATCCAGTGTGTGTAGAGCATGTGCATTAACAAGAAGAGGAAAATGTTTAAAAAAAAAAAAAAAAAATCTTCCTGGGAATGGGTCTTTGGCTTAGAGGTGAAGTCACCATTCGGGATGCCTGTGTTCCACATGGAACCTGGCTTCGATTCCTATCTCTCATTCCTGACTCCAGCTTCCTGCTGGTGCAGGCTCCAGTATTTAGGTTCCTGCCACTCACATGGGAGGCCTGGGACCATGGGATTTCCCAGCTCCCAGCTTTAGCCCCCTGCCTCCTGGTTGTTGTTGGCATTTGAGAGGTATGCTGGTGGATGGGGACACTCTCTCCCTCTGTTTCTCTCATTGTCTTTCTGCCTCTCAAATAAATACATAAGTTTGTAGAAAAATGAAAATAAAATTTATGAAAATGAAATCTTCCTCATTGTAACTTTTTATATGGTACTAATTCATAATCTGTAGATTGGAAGGCCAGCTGTTGTGGCCATTTGGGAGTGAACTAACGGATGAAAGATCTCTCTCTCTCTCTGTCTCTCTGTAACTCTGCCTTTCAAATAAATAAAATAAATCTTAAGAAAAAAAATAAATGGGGCTCATATAGTATATATTATTTGAAAAAATACATAATTCAAAAACTTTGAGGGACTGTCATTGCAGTGCAATGGGTTAAGCTACCACCTACAACGTCTGCATCCCATATGAGCACCAGTTTGAATCCCACGTGCTACTCTTCTTCTTTTTTTTTAAAAAAAAATATTTATTCATTTCATTTCTTTCTTTTTTTGATGATTTATTTACTTGAAAGTCAGAGTTACACAGAGAGAGAAGGAGAGGCAGAGAGAGAGAGAGAGAGGTCTTCATCCGCTGGTTCACTCCTCAATTGGTCAGAACAGCTGGAACTGCGCCGATCCGAAGCCAGGAGCCAAGATTTTCCTCAAGGTCTCCCACGAGGGTGCAGGGGCCATCTTCTACTGCTTTCCCAGGCAATAGGGGAGAGCTGGATCAGAAGTGGAGCAGCCGGGACTTGAAGCGGTGCCCATATGGGATGCTGGCACTGCAGGTGGAGGCCTCACCCACTAGGCCAAGCGCTGGCCCCTATTCATTTATTTTCAAGGTCAGAGCTACAGAGAGAGGGGAAGAGACAGAGAGAGAGAGAGAGGTCTTCCACCCACAGTTTCAGTCCCAGATGGAAGTGGAGTAGCCGGGACACTGACCAATGCCCAGCTGGGATGCTGGCATCTCAGGTGGCGGCTTTACTTCGTATGCCACGACGCCTAGCCATAGCTTCCAATCCAGCTCCCTGCTAATGGCCTGGGAAAGCAGCAGAGAATAGCCCAAGTGCTTGGGCCCCTGTCATCCTTGTGGGAGATCCGGATAAAGCCACTGGCTCCTGGCTTCAGCCTGGCTTTGCCCAGGCCATTGTGGCCATTTTAGGAGTGAACCAGGGGATGTCTCTCCCCCCACCTCTCTGTAACTCTGCCTTTCAAATACGATAAATAAATATAGCAGGTAAAGGGACCTGAAACAAATATTAACTAAATTAGAAGCTCATTGGTTATGGTAAATCTGCTGATGGGAGATGACCAAGAGTGCTGACCAGTGAGCCTGGAAAGGATGCAAACAAGGAGTTACGTCATGGACTAGAGAGAGCGCCCTGTATGTCATAATAAGGAGTTTAGAAGGCTACAGAGATGTAGACATATTGGAGAACCAACTAGGGAATCAATATCAATAGGACATGGCACCTTCCTTGCTCAGTTTGAACAGAGGAGAATCAAGGTTGACACACTCAAGCTTTTGGAGTTGATAATTATATATTTGAGGTAATATATACATTAAGTTTTGGATATATTTAACTGTAGTGTAGATATCTGGTAGGCTTTTGGGTATGAGACTTGTGAGCTGGAAATTAAAATTTGAGAATCTGGGCTGGCACTGTGACACAGCTTGTTTAGATGCTGCCTGCCAGTTTAAGTCCCAGATGCTCCATTTCCAATCCAGCTCATTGCTAATGTGCCTGGGAAAGCAGTGGAAGATGGTCTTGGGCCCCTGCCACTCATGTGGGAGACCCAGATGGAATTCCAGGCTCCTGGCTTTGGCCTGGCCAGTCCTGGCCATTGTGGTCATTTTGGGGGTCAACTAGTAGATGGACATCTCTTCTCTCTGTCTCTTCCTCTCTCCCTGTAACTCTGCTTTTTGAATAAATAAATCTCCTAAAAGAAAAAAAATTGGGAATCAAAGCCATTGAACAGAAGATAAGAATATTACAGAAAGAGGAGAGGAGCTAGGACATTTCCTTGAAGAACATCAGATTTAAGATTGTTCTTCTGAAGAACCCTGAAAAGGAATCTGAGGAAAAGAAAAAGACCAGAGAGATGGAAGGGAAAGCAGGAAGTAGGATATACTGGATGTTCAAGGGAAGAGTGTTTCAGTAGCTGAGAAAACTGGTTCCTGGGTCCTTGGGAAATTATCCCTTTTATCTTGAAACACTTTTTTTTTAGATAAATCTTTTTTTAAGACTTATTTATTTATTTATCTATTTATTTGAAAGTCATAGCTATAGGGAGAGAGACAGAAATCTTCCATCTGCTGGTTCACTCCTGAAATGACTGCAACAGGCAGGGTCTCCTACATGAGTAGGAGTGGACTTGGGCCATCCTCCACTGGTGTCCCAGGAACATTAGCAGGGAGCCAGATAGGAAGTATAGCAGCTGGGTCTCCAGCCAGTGCCCATATGGGATGTTGTCATTGCAGGCAGCGGACTTACCCACTAATGCCACAATGCCTGCCCCTTGAAACACTTTTACTTTGGTACCCATGATAGGTGCTGTGAGCATACACTGATGAAACAATACATATTCTGCCCTTGAATACATTGAAATCTATGAAAGGAAATTAGATATAGTGGCATATAAGTTATTGTATTTAATGTATTATTTACTGAGTGCCTGCATTGCTCCAGGTGCTATTCAAGATGCTGGAATCTTTTAAGATGAAAGGCAGAGTTACAGAGAGAGGGGAGAGACACACAGAGAGAAATCTTTTATCTACTGGTTTACTCCCCAGATGATGGCTGCAATGACTGTGGCTAGGCCAGACTGAAGCCAGGAGCCTGGAACTGCACTGGGTCTCCCCTTTCGTGTGGCAGGGGTCCAAGCACTTAGACAACCTTCCCATGACTTTCCAGCGGAGAGCTGGGTTAAAAGTGGAGCAGCCAGGACTCAAACCGGTGCTTACATGGGATGCTGGAGTCACAGGCTACAGCTTAACCTGCTGTCTACAATGCCAGCATTGGTGGCATTGGGGATACTGAAAAGTATATTCAACTAGAGGAGAAAAATAATAAATAAACAAATGAGGTACACAGGAGACAGCCCGAATGGCAGATGAGCTCGCCAAGGCTCAGGTTGCCCAGCCTGGTGGTAGCACGATCTTCGGGAAGATCATCCGCAAGGAAATCCCAGCCAGAATCATTTTAGAGGATGACCAGTGTCTTGCTTTCCTTAACGTTGCCCCTCATTCACCAACACATTTTCTGGTGATACCAAAGAAACATATATCCCAGATTTCTGCAGCAGAGGATGATGATGAAAGCCTTCTTGGATATTTAATGATTGTTGGCAAGAAATGTCCTGCTGACCTGGGCCTGAAGAAGGTTCCCGAATGGTGGTGAATGAGGGTTCAGATGGTGGACAGTCGGGCTATCACGTTCATCTCCATGTTCTCAGGGGTCAGCAGATGAACTGGCCTCCTGATTAAGCATGTGTTAGAGATAATTGTTCCTTTTCCAGACAGTGATAAAGCTTGCAGTTAGAATGTGACAAACAAGGGCCAGCACTGTGGTGCAGCAGGTTAAAGCCCTGGCCTGACGCGCCAGTATCCCATATGGGTGCCAGTTCTAGTCCCGGCTGCTCCTCTTCTGATCCAGCTCTCTGCTATGGCCTGGGAAAGCAGTAGAAGATGGTTCAAGTCTTTGGGCCCCTGCACCCATGTGGGAGACCCAGAAGAAGCTCCTGGCTCCTGGCTTCAGATTGGCACAGCTTTGGCCACTGCAGCCATCTGGGGAGTGAACCATCGGATGAAAGATCTCTCTCTCTTTCTCTACCTCTCTCTGTAACTCTTTCAAATAAATAAAATAAATCTTAAAAAAAAAAGAAGAAGAATGTGACAAACAGCACACTTTTGCCTATGTATACAGAAATTAAAGAAATATTGGAAAAAACATACATAATAAAAGACATTATTGCATGGTTAAAAGTAAATAAATAAATAAATGATAGAACCTCTGACAATGATAAGTGTGATAAAAAAACAAACAAGGCAGGAAAATAAAGAATATAGATGTTAATAGTGGCTTTTCTTAGACTAATTTTTGAAAATATTTATTTATTTATTTGCAAGAGTTACAGAGATAGAGGGAAAGACAAAGAGAGAGCTCTTTCTTCTACCCACTGGAACACTCTCCAGATGGCTGCAACAGCCAGGGCTGGGCTAGCCTGAAAACAGGAGCCAGGAGATTCTCCTGGGTCTTCCATTTGAGTGGCTGCAGCTCAAGTACTTGGGACATCTTCTGATGCTTTTCCCAAGTCTTAGGGAGCTGGATCAGAAATGGAGCAGCCAGGACATGAATTGGCTCCCATATGGGATACTGGCATTGCAGTTGACAGCTTTTCCTACTACACCACAATGCCAGCTCCAGGGCTAATTTTTAAAATATTTATTCGGCTGGCGCCGCGGCTCACTCGGCTAATCTTCCGCCTTGCGGCGCCGGCACACCAGGTTCTAGTCCCGGTCGGGGCGCCGGATTTTGTCCCTGTTGCTCCTCTTCCAGGCCAGCTCTCTGCTGTGGCCTGGGAAGGCAATGGAGGATGGCCCAAGTGCTTGGGCCCTGCACCCCATGGGAGACCAGGAGAAGCACCTGGTCCTGCCATCGGATCAGCGCAGTGCGCCGGCCACAGCGCACCGGCCGCGGCGGCCATTGGAGGGTGAACCAACGGCAAAAGGAAGACCTTTCTCTCTGTCTCTCTCACTGTCCACTCTGCCTGTCAAAAAAAAAAAAATGTTTATTCATTTATTTGAAAGATACAGAGAGACATATAGCACTCCCATCTGCTGGTTCACTCCTTAAATGCCTGTAAGCACTCGTGGCTGGGTTAGAACTGCCAGATGCTGGGAACCGAGTCTAGTTCTCCCATGTGGGTGGTAGGAACAGCTATGTAAGCTATCCTTGCTGCCTTCCAGGGTCTGTATTAGTATGAAGCTGGAATCGGGTGCCAGATCGCAAATGGAACCCAGACACTCTCCTGTAGGATGTGACCATCTTAATTGCTAGGCCAAATGCCTGTTGTTAATTTGTTAGGGTACTGGGGGACACTAGCTCTCTAGAAGTCACATTTGATCAGAGACTCTGGTGATAGGAAGGTTCGGGCCATGAGAAGAACATTCTTTTTAATAAAATACTAAATATGAAGGTCCTGAGATAGAAATGAGCTTGGTGTGTTTGAGAAACATTAAGAAAGTTAAACTACAGGGGCCAGCACTGTGGCACAGCGGGTTAACATCCTGGCCTGAAGCGCTGGCATCTCATGTGGGCACTGGTTTGAGACCTGGCTGCTCTACTTCTGATCCAGCTCTCTGCTATGGCCTGGGAAAGCAGTAAAAGATGGCTCAAGTGCTTGGGCCCCTACACCCAAGTGGGAGACCTGGAAGAAGCTCCTGGCTCCTGGCTTCTGGCTTCAGATTGGCACAACTCTGGCCATTGCAGCCAATTGGGGAGTGAACCATCAAATGGAAGACCTCTCTCTTTCTCTCTTGCCTCTCCTCTCTCTGTGTAACTCTGACTTTCAAATAAATAAATAAATCTTTTTTTAAAAAAGAGGAAGTTAAAATATAAAATTGTCCAGGAGTGGAAGGAGATAAAGTGAGAAAGACTGGAAGTGCCCCATATCACATAGGATCTTGTAGTCCATTCTAAGGAGGTAGATAAAAGGAAGATCAGATTGAAGGCTGCTGCAATGCTGCAGGTGCATTTAAAATCCTGTGTAGAAATGACAATACTCGGCAACTAAAAGAATTGTGCATGGGAAGTGGGAGATCAAGAGCAATGCCCATGTTTGAGTCTTGGTGACTTAGGAAAATATGGTATCAGGAGGAAATCAGCTCAATTTTGGATATATTAGTTTTTCAGATGTTAAAGGCAATACTTGTGGGTTTTTAACCACACAAGTGAGTAATGAGTACAGAACAAGACATAGCATTAGTGAATACAAACTTGATAGGCAACAGGGAACACTGTGGAATGTGGCAGTGGCAAGAAAAATAATGGTGTAGAGTTATCAGTTCTACACTTAAGCAGACACATTTTAGTTTCCAATACTTAGAGCAAGAATAGAATTGTTTCACAACTTCTAAGGCATTCTGTATCTCTCTCTCTCAATTTTTTCTTTATTTTTAATTTCTATCTCACTCTCTAATTCTATTATTGGCATTAAGGAGTTTGCTAAGAAACTGAATGGTAGGATTGGAAAGTGAGGGCTCTGAGGAAGAATGGCTAAAGGAAAAGGAGATGAAGTTTGGTTTCTTAGAGTGACTTGGTGGATTGGGTCCTTCTCCAGAATGAGGCATATTTGCGCTCTAGTTCCCTCCATTTCCTTTTGCTTGCCTGTGTTTACCCAACCACATCCTGCTGTTTGTTAATCATCATCTCTATGTTTTTTTTTTGTTTGTTTTTTGTCTTGTCTCATTATAAGGATTCATCAAACGTGAGGAAAAAGCCTTTGGAAACCGGGCACCGTTGTTCGAGCTCCTCTTCCCTCCCTGTCATCCATGACCCTCCTGTGTGTCTCCTTGGTCCCCAACTCTACCCTCCCCAGCCACAGTTCCTGTCCCCAGGTGTCCTGATGCCCAGCATGGCAGGGGAGCCCCATAGATCCCCAGGTAACTTCCCACCCAATCTAACATTACAAATATATGCCACAACATGGTACCTTTCCAGGGACTTCTGAGGATAATCAGTGTACCTATTGGGACAGGGGTGTCCCAAAGAGGGGTGGTATAAGGCTACGAATTACACATTTAAGATCAAGCATTGATTTGGATGAATTATGACTAAATAATGTTTTGGGCACCATGGTTCTTAGACCAGGGGCCTGGAACAGCACCCCTGGAATCTGTATTTGTGAGCAATAACTGTTTCACTGACGATGGAATAAGCTTTTAAGTAACCAATGAGAGTCTTTGGAATCCTCCCGCCCTCCCCAACCAGAAAGTATCAACTCCATTAGCTAGTTTTCTCACATTTTATCCACTGAGTCTCAGAAGGGATGGTCTAGGTCTACAGGATAATGGGAAAGTCTGGCCTGTGGGCCATATAAATAAGGCCCATGAAATCATTTGGTCTGGTCCTACCAAGGCAACCAGGTGAGACTCGAAAGTCAATAAATCTACAGTGGGCTAATTTTGTGTGGCCTGCAAGTCGGTAATTTTGTGTGGCCTGCAAATGATGTTACATATATCCACATGGCCCTTGGCTGAAGAAAGGATCCCTGCCCCTGGTTGAGAAGGAATAAATGGGAGATGTGGAAAGACCTTGTATATGGGGTACCCATGCCATGTGTATAGATCCAAATAGTCCTAGGGAATGTGGGCAGCAGCTTTCTGGCTTTGACTCTCCATGGCAAGATGTTCTCCATTTCCTCCTCACACGCTGAGTGTACAACTTAAGGCAGTGGTTCTAAAAGGGAAAGAGGGAGTACTACAGGCATATCCTGAATAGAGACCATTTGAGTGGCTGCGGCTGCTACACACCTGCAGGTCATTCCTTCACCACCTCCAATTATTAGCCCAATATATCAGTAACACCAAGGTCAAATAAGTGTTTAGAAAAGGCATTCTATATTGTGTATCGTGAGAAGTGGGGTGAACACAAGTGGAGATCTTAGAAATTGAGCAAGAATGTAAGAGGCAGCTTGACTGGAGTGAAGGTACCATGTAAGGAAAAGATGAGTGAGATTTTAGATCGGTGGCTCCAGGAGTAAACTTGTTACCATGAGAGAGTAAACATTTGCTATATCAGGAAGCCATTTGTGGCCGGCGCCGCGGCTCAATAGGCTAATCCTCCGCCTTGCAGCGCCGGCACACCGGGTTCTAGTCCCGGTCGGGGCGCCGGATTCTGTCCCGGTTGCCCCTCTTCCAGGCCAGCTCTCTGCTGTGGCCAGGGAGTGCAGTGGAGGATGGCCCAGGTGCTTGGGCCCTGCACCCCATGGGAGACCAGGAGAAGCACCTGGCTCCTGCCTTTGATCAGCGTGGTGCGCTGGCCGCGGCGGCCATTAGAGGGTGAACCAACGGCAAAGGAAGACCTTTCTCTCTCACTGTTCACTCTGCCTGTCAAAAAAAAAAAAAAAAAAAAAAAGGAAGCCGTGTGTGTGTGAGAGAGAGAGACAAAGAGGAAACATTATAGTGGAGCAAGGAAGAAATATGACAGTGTCCGGGAGTCTTTTTCATTCGCCCAGGTTGGGAGTAAGAGATTTGATTTTTATGTATATTAAAATTTTTAAAAAACAGAGTCAAATGCAAAACTGGGTTGCTTCTTTCCCTTGTGTGTATGCTCCTGGAGGATTGGGGAGGGGGCAGAATAGCTAGGAATGGTCCTCTGAGAAGGGTAGTGGTTTTCTGAAGATGCTCAGTGTTTGGGTTTCTTTTCTCTCCCCAGGAACTTCAAGGAGTGTCCAGCAGTTTCTGGCTGTGTGTGACGGGGGTGAAACTTCCCAAGGGTTCAAGTACACAGGAAGGACTTTGAACTACCGGAGTCTCCCTCATCGTTCCAGAACAGACGCCTCCTGGGGACCCTGGTTAGAGACCAACCAGCGTATTGAGGCCAGATTCATGACTACTCCAGGGTGCAAGCCTCAGCTAACCCACACTGCCACATTACCAGAAAGAAGCCAGGGCCTGCAGGTTCCTCATGCTCAGTCCTGGGGAGATCTGTCCCATTCACCTTCCCTGCCTCCCGTTGTTCTCCCTGTGTCCCCACCATCCAGCAGTCTTCATGTACCCCTGAGGTCAGCTTGGAATCCAGGTCCTGTTCCAGGGTCCCGAGCCCCTGGTCCTCGAAGAGTAGATATGCCCCCAGACGATGACTGGAGGCAAAGCAGTTATGTTTCCCAATCTGGACACAGGAGGAGAGGGGGAGAGGGGTTTCTGTTTGCTCTAGCAGATGCCCCTGGAAGAGAGCAGAACAGGGCTGGAGCCCTACAGCACAGCAGGTGGTAAGGGTCATTGTCTTCCTTTGCTGGGACCACGCCTTTCTTCTATGGCAGAGTTGGTACTTTGCATCTCTGCCCATGATTGTGCTGTTCTCACCTCAACACAGAATTGGCAGTTTCTCCTAGGGATCCCAGGAACTTTGAAACTTGAGACCTGGCTCTTTTGGAGGGTATATTTGAAATTCCACATTCTATTTCCCCTAGCAAAAGGAAGCAGCTGCTGTTTAAGGCTTTATTTGAGCCACTTTAAAGATTAATCCATAATACTACTCTTGACACTAGCCATTCCTTAGGATCTTAAGGTCACCATTTTATTCCTGGATATTTTATGCCCCCACCTCCAACTAAACCATCATCATCTGTTCTCCACTGTGTTCCCAACTTGTATGTTTTGTTTTTCCTATCCATCCTGCCTACCTGACCTGTCTTCTCATCTATCCTTAGAGGGATATGTAGCCCTGCGGTCCTGGTCCTGACCACATCATTCAGGACAGCACACCTGCCTGGATGTTATGGCCTCTCCACCTTCCCTGTGTTCCTAAACCTTAAACCTAGAATGCAGAGCTGCCAATATAATATTTGCCCTTCTGAACAGATGGAGTCAGACACACTAACACACCCTCCTGTCCTCAGCAGCAGAGCCATTACTGCCACTGCTCAGTCACTGTTGTAAACCCTGAGTCAGCTGAACTATTTTAGGCCAAGCATACTGTTTTTGTAAAGTATTTTTCATTAATAAATCTATAAGATAGTTCTATTTAATGCCTTGTCATTCTTCCCTTTTGTATGCTTTTGGTCTTTTTTAATTGGGGTGGGGAGGACTGGACATAAAAACGAAGTGGTTTGTGACTGAGTGAAAGTGAGGGGCCGGAGGAGCCAAGAGATACACACGCAAGGTGGGAGTCAATGGATTCTAAAATAGAGTGCCTTTTCTTGTCACTACTGCTAATAGCATATTTCCTATCCCTTTCCTGCCAGTACTCAATACACCACACGTTACATACTTCCTTCCTCCATTCCTTAGGGAAGATTATTCTGGGGACTTGAACTCTTCTTACAGACTAATTCAAATTCAGGTACTCTTGGTGCCTTCCTGCTGCCTCCCTGGTTTGTGATGTGCCTCCTGTCCCTTCCTTGTCCTCTTCCCATGGCAACCCCTTCCCTTTCTCCTGGGGAGTTACCATCACCCTGCTGCACTCCTGAGAGCCCCTCCCCTCTAAAGTTATTTTGTGTGCAAAGAGGAGGACCCATTGGGCTTTTCCTCTTTTCTCCCAGGTCTCAGGATCATTCTGATTAACACCAAGAAGAGGTACAAAGGTACTCTCTGAGACTCTGGACTCTTGATTATCACCAGACATTGCGAACTGATTCTCAGCACGTGTTTTATTTGAGCAAGAGGATGCGCAGGAATTTTTCAGTCCATCCCACTTGCATCCTATACTATCAAGATACAAGGGTATTTTTAAAAGTTCGTGGAAAAATGGAATTAGAAGATATGTTTATTTTGGGGCAAAAATTTTGAATTCCATACCAACAAGTAGTCTTAAGAAAGTTCATAGAGGCCGGCGCCACAGCTCAATAGGCTAATCCTCTGCCTGCGGCGCCAGCACACCGGGTTCTAGTCCTGGTCAGGGCACTGGATTCTGTCCTGGTTGCTCCTCTTCCTGTCCAGCCCTCTGCTGTGGCCCGGGAGTGCAGTGGAGGATGGCCCAGGTGCTTGGGCCCTGCACCCGCATGGGAGACCAGGAGAAGCACCTGGCTCCTGGCTTCAGATCAGCGTGGTGCGCCGGCCGCAGTGGCCATTGGGGGGTGAACCAATGGAAAAGGAAGGCCTTTCTCTCTGTCTCTCTCTCTTACTGTCCACTCTGCCTGGAAAAAAAAAATAATAATAAAGTTCATAGAAAATGTGTATTATGAAAATACTATGCATGGTTGGAACAATTTTTCTTTTGAAAGATTTATTTATTTGAAAAGCAGAGTGACAGAGAGCAAGAGACAGATAAAGAGAGCAAGATCTTGCATCTGCTGGTTGACTCCTCAAATGGTCAGATGGCCAGAGTGGGTCACTAGGCCAAGGCCAGAAGCCTAGAACTCCATCTGCGTCTCCCCTTTGGGTGGCTAGGCCATCTTCTGCTGTTTTCCCAGGTGCATTAGCAGGGAGCTGGATTGGAAGTAGAGCAGCCAGGAGTCAACCAGTACTCATATATGATGCTGGTGTTGCAGGGCTGGCTTAGCCTGGTGCGCCACAAACCTGGCCCAAGATTTGAAAAATGTCTTGCACAAAAATATATTTATGTTTTCATTCCATTTTTTCATAAACCTTTTTCTCTCAATTTTATTAGAACGGCAGAGAAACAAACAGATCTCCTATCCTCTGGTTTACTCCTCAAATCCCTGCAACAGCCAGGGCTGGGCCAGGCCAGAACTAGAAATCTGAAACTCCATTTGGGTCTTCCACATGAGTGGCAGGGGTGCACGTACTTGAACCATCATTTTTACCCCCAGGGAGTGCAATTCATAGGCAGCTGTATTGGAATCAGAGTAGCCAGGACCTGAACAAGGCACTTGGCTATAGGATGCAGATGTTTCAAGCAGCAATTTAACCACTGTGTCAAATGCCTGTTGTCTCCACAAACTTTTTAAAGTACCCTCATAAACAGACAGTGGATATGCTGGTTCCTATCCATATCCTTAGTAGATATTCTTCTAATAATTATGGATCGACAGACAGTCCTTGTCCCTCTGCTCCATTCCCCACGAATGTCACTCAGTCACTTTGATCTCTAGAGAGGTCCCATAGGTTACCCAGGCCCAGATTCTGTGTGTGCACAGAAATAAGGAATTCGTTTCCAATTTCCTATTTACTCTACTTTCCGAATCTATTTTCTGCATGAATCAAGAGGGAGGCTGTGTCTTTTTCAGGTGGATTCTGCAGATTATTCGAACATCTGGCGGTGTCATCCTCTTACTTCTCCTTACCTGTTTTGATTCTTAACCCTTGGAGCTTGGCCTGCTTCAGCTGCGTTTTAAACCTGTGCCTTCAGACTCTTGACAATTCCAGAGTCTAGACACAAGGGCCAGAATTCTTTCCAAACTCCATTTTGAAAATCTTCCCTTCTTGGCTGGAGAACCTATAATGTCTCCTATGTTCTTATCCCGTCCACCCTTTAGTACTCAGATCTGGTAGCTAAATTGTGATACATTTGGTTCTCTGTTAGTAGCAGATTCTGAAGTTTAATCACCTCTCCCCATTTTACTATTAGCTGCATGACAGCCGGTGTAGTTTCCTTGCTTTCATTTATCCCAGCAGCCAGCTACAGACTGTCCCTTCTCCTCACCCTCTTTTGTTTCTGTACGCAAAGAAATTTTAACCTGATCCCTTGGCCTCGTCCCGTTTCTCTTCTAGCCTCAGTAATTTTGCCCAAGTCCCTAGAGCCTGCCCCGCCCCCGCCCCCGCACGCGCGGTGCATGCCGGTCTTAGCCCCTCTGTAGGGAACGAGGGTCCGCCATGTTCCCCGGCGGGGCCGCCGCTTGGCTCTGGTAGCCGCCGCCCCCGCCCCCAAACCCCGCCCGGCCCAACGCCTAGCCGAGCCCCGGGCCCAGCATGGCCGCCCCGGAGCCGGCGCGGGCCGCACCGCCCCCACCCCCGCCCCCGCCGCCCCCTCCCGGGGCTGACCGCGTCGTCAAAGGTGAGAGGTGGACGAAGCCCTGGGGGCCTGGCCTGAGGAGCTGTGTGTGGAGGGCGGGCGGGAGACCGTCCCCTCGGGAGCGGGCCCGGAAGGGCGGGCGAGTGACTGGCTGCCTCCCCTGGGGAGTGGCCCCTGGGCGGGCCCCTATGGGCTGGGCTGAGTCGGTGGCGGTGGCTCCGCGATCTCCCGGTTGCCGTCAGGCCGGGGCGAGGGTTTTGCTCTCGGGGTTTCCTAGCCCCAGGGCTGAGGCTGCTAGCTGCAGTGAGCCCCTTTTCTTTTTCTCCTCGGCCTGTCGTCGCGGCGCAGGGCCCGCGATGAGCTTCCTGCTCCGCAACAGCTGCACTTCTGGCTTGCCGGGGCGGACCGAGGGGCTTGGAGACCTTCAGCCACGCGGGGCCGGGCGATGAGCAGTCAGAAATTGCCTCGGCTTTGGCCCACGCCTGCTCCCCAGTGACAGCCGTCCGCCCTATCCGCGCTTAGCCAGCGCCAGCCGCAGGGGTTCGCGCTTGCCTCTCAGGTGCCATCCCGCAAGCAACTGGGGGAACCGTATGGTATTGCACAAGGGTGAGGGGTAGAGGCCGGCTTCGGGAGCCCAGGCTTTAAGTGCAGAATAGGAGTGAAAAGCAGTATAAAAGAAGAATGAAAGCATCGTGGGGAGAAAACAGCTATTTACTGGGAAAGCTGTGAACACTGGTCAAAAGGGGTTTACCTACCCCTCCTCTGGACACACGCCCCCACACATTTCCTAGAAGAAAAAAATGTTTCGGAGCCAGGGAGAATATGGATTTTTAGTCGTAAAAGGCTAGCAGGTTAAAATGGAGAATCTAACGGCTGATTGAGAGTTGTTTGAGTCCAGGATTTCTGGGAGAGCCCATCAACTTCAAACACTGCTGTGGAGGTTAAAAACAGAGTATGAAGTGAGTTTTCTTCACCGGATAGCTGGGTCAATAAATTGATATTATTGTTGAATAAATGTTTCGTAATTTGTATTACACTTATTTTTAAAATATAATTTTTAAATGATTTTTTCTTTCAGCTTTTCACATATACTGTCACAGTGTTTAAACAGCCTTTTTTTTTTTTGAAATCTGACCCCATATTTTCAGTAAAATATTTAAAAACAAAACTTTTCCCTTTATGAGGGCTTTTAAAAATTATTTTAAAAAATTTCAATCTGATCCTTCTTTCCTTCTTAAAAGAATAGCACTGATTTGTACGGAGGCTAATTTTGATTATATTAAAAGTTGATAGTTTATCCAGTTGGGCCCAGCACTGGAATGAACTGAATAGTTAAAGGAATTTTTGTCCTGAGAAATCCTTTTAAAAGAGAAAAAAAATTCTGGTAGCTCAGGCATTCATTATATCAATAAATCCTGGACTTTTATATGGGTGGGAACAGGGAACATTGGCTGCAGCTTCATTTTCTGACTATATTTCTTTGTTGTGTGTTCATTTCCCTGGGTACTTTTCACTGTTAAATGGAATAACCAATCATATTCCTGAACAATGAGTTTACACCATCTTTATGCTTGTGAATCTTCTTGTTCCTTGTCATATATATGATAATTATTTTCTGTACTGCTTTAATGAAGTAAAAATAAGATTCCAAAAATAAGGCAGATAGATTCCTTTAGGGCCTGAGTTGTGAATCTAAAACACAGTCATATTTGCAGTTTGTTGCCATTCATTAAAAGTCATTTGATTTAGGATAAGCCGGAAAGGAGCTTGTCAGTATAGTTAAGCAAAGCTCATGGTTATCCTATCTTGTGCTATTGTGGAGGCAACTTTCATTTCCTTAGGGAGTTTGTTAGCCAATTTGAATGTCTGTTATGGATCACACACTTAGAAATAGTGTGTAATAGGCCAGTGCTGTGGCTCAATACGCTAATCCTCCCCTGTGGCGCCGGCACACTGGGTTCTAGTCCCGGTCGGGGCGCTGGATTCTGTCCCGGTTGCTCCTCTTCCAGTCGAGCTCTCTGCTGTAGCCCGGGAGTGCAGTGGAGGATGGTCCAAGTGCTTGGGCCCTGCACACGCATGGGTGACCAGGAGGAAGCACCTGGCTCCTGGCTTCGG